TGCAACAGTGGTCTTTAAAGTCCTTATGTCCTTGAGCTTATGGCATAGTTGGCATATTGAAAAGAGAGAGGAAAGCGCTTCTTTCAAGAAAATTACTATAAAAGGAAATTTTCAAGAAATCAGTGGTGAACAGATGAGAGTTTTTACAATATTTCTTTTTCTAAGCTTTAAAAAGTTCTATATATTTATCTTATTTTATTGCAAGGGCCTTAAGAAAATCAAAAAAATATATTGGTAAAAATTATATTATTGAAAAATAAATCAATTATTATATTAATAAGGATATTAACAACTATAATAATAAAATATGATTCAAGCAATATATTAATAATAATATTATTTATTTTAATTATTTTTAAAAGTAGTATTCTACTTCAGTTAAGTAGAACAATAAATATATTATATCTAATTCAAGATATTTTTTGTGTTATAATTAGACTTATTATATCTTTCTTCTAATCACAATCAAATATTAAAACTTAAATAACAATACTACTATCACTACTATTACTATTATTAATCATCAAATATTAAAACTTAAATAACAATACTACCATTACTACTATTACTATTATTAATCATCAATTATCATATTCAATTAGCTATCAAAAAGATATGTTAATAAAACTTTTATATATTATATCTTGTATTGTAGCTTGACTATTTCAGAAAGTGCTATTGTATTTCATGAGAATGAAATTACCAGAGTAACATGCCTATTAGATATCTTTTATATTAAATTAGTCTTTTTATTATCTTTTTTTTAGTACTTTTTTTCTTTTTTATTAAGTCTTATTACAGCTAATTATAAATATATATTGGTTTTGATATTTGTTTTTCTTTATCATTAGATAGTTTTCTATAGACAAGCTAGCATTATATTCATTAGTTAATTGATTATATGAGAAATATTACTTTTTTCATATAAAATTTTTTAAACTTTTATGATATAATAAAGTGATAATGTTTACCTACCTTTAAAAAAAAGTAATATGTATATGTATTAACATGTATAAAATTAATTAATTAGTTATTTATTTATTTTAATGTTTTCATTAAATAGCATGGTTTAATATATCCTAGGTAAATAATATATTAGTTTAAAAATTTTTTTCAACTATATTTAGATAGTTATCACAAAGAATTAGAGTTTACTTATAAAAAAAATAATATAATAAAAAAAATATAAATAATATTGAAAAAATATGACACAAAAAATTTTTTTAAAAAAAACAATAAAAGTAATACACAAGAACTGTTCATCCAATATTACAATAAATACACTCTGTAATTAAAGATATTTCTATGATGCGTATTGTAACTAATTACACTTGCTATTTTAGAAACTCTTGGCTAAAAGTATAACCCAGAGTACTGCAAATAGTTAAATACAGTGTAGCTATTAAAGAGAAATAGTAAAAGAAAAAAATAAAAAGCTTTTTAGTGAGAGAAATTTTTAATTAAAATCAAATTACGTACCTACACCAACCTAACTCATCTGATATTAAATAAATTTGATCTAGAGTTAGCAATAGACTCGTTGAAATAATACAATAATATTTTTTTTAAAAATAAAATGCAAAATATATTTTTTTATAAGAGAAAAAATATTTATATAAATAAACTTAACAATTTGGTTCTGAAAATCATCTGTTGACACGTTGACTTTTATTATAAAAGTTTTTAAAATTCAATACAAAATAATATTCTAAAACACTAAATTAAGAAGACGTATGTTTTGTGAATCCGTTTACTCTACCTTATTCCACTTAACACTTCACAACCCATTCACTCCCTTTTACATTCGCAAACCTACCCATTCCATCATAAGTTTGCAAACTTACTTATTCCACTTCACGTTTCACCACTTTTCCTCACATCATTCCACTTCACGCTTTGCGAACCCAGTTACTCCTCCACCTCACGTTTAGTAGACTTACCTATTTCAATTTCAAACCTACCCTTTCCACTTTTCGTTTGCAAAATTATTTATTTTACCTCATTCCATGAGAACTACTTCACTCCATCTCACATTTCGCAAACCTATTCATACCACTTCATGTTTACAAACATATTAACTCGACATCTCATTTTAGAAACTTATTTACTTAATCTCACTACATTAAAACCGTTATATTCTCGGTTTTTTATATACCCGAAATTGAATCCAATTAAATGATATGATTATAGTAGGCATAAATTGGTGCTCAAAAATTGTGGACCCAGTCCTCACTCCCCAAAAAGAATATAACGTTTTTGTGGCCTTCAAAAAATCACCCATATTTAATCCGAAAAGTAAAAAAAAAAAAAATGAATAGTCGAAACATCAAAATTATTTATAAACAATTTACAGGATTTCTGTAGCATGTAATTATTTAGCAGGGATGCAAAAAAATTTCCTGATATTAAATAAAAGTAATTTTAAACCAAAATCAATATACAGTAGAATATACTGTATATACTGTATATATTTTATAAATTAATACAAATCAATAATTGAATTTTGGATAATTCTTTAATTCTTTTTGAAGGCGGACAGGGATTTTTCTGACTTTATAATCGTACTTCTAGAATTTATATTGCTAAAAAATAGAGATCAAAAAATCATATAACATTTTTGTCGTTTTCAAAAAGATTTTTAGAATCGTAAACAGAATTGAAATACTCTAAAACAAGAGTGCGATAATTGATGAACCATAGTACAGTACTATCATTACGTAAATAGAATTTCTGCCAAGTATTGGTCATCTTGCATGCATATTTGCATATAAACAAAGCACAATAAAATTAGTTATATTGTATACAGTATTTGAGAATTTCTTCCAGGATAGATTTACATTGCATATTTGTAATTTTCCTTTGATCACATGCCCATATAGCCTTACCTAACCTAGAGGTATCCTTGAAAAGACGCTTATCAGTCAAATTACAAAGATTTATTGCTATAAATACTTCGTTAATTCGTATGTGTGAGAAGGAAACTTCAAGAAACAAAAATCCATTATTATATCTAATAACAATCCTACGTGTACAATATTTGAAAGTCAATTACTTTTTTATATCTAACAATAAACTTAAATTTGAATTCAAATATTATATTCGTCAAAATGCAATTATTTCTTGAAGTGCTTTTTATTTTACTATTAATAAATTGTTGTGTCTCATTTACTCCCAGAGCACGAGACCTTCTGTCTGCCATTAGGGTCGATAATCTAATTTATTTTCAAGGTGGTTACAACTATACTCACCCAAATATAACTGCCACTGATTTTTTTTATCTCAATCTCTCCGCTTCATTTAACATTATTGATAAACAATCAATCCCTTGGGTGGACCTTTCTAACATCTCTGGTTCTCCTGCAAAGCACGGGCATACAGCTTGCATAGGAGGTGTCAATAAAAGCTCTATTTTCTTTATTGGTGATGTACAAAATGTTCCGCCATTTGTAGCTCAGTATGACTTAACTAGACAAAAGTGGATAACTCCTTCTATTAGCGGAGATACTATTACTTTACATTTAAATCATACGCAATGTGCCACATCCGGGGACGGAATTATTTACTTTTTGAATGGCCTATCTCCAAATAATTTAGTTAAACTAAACACTATTAATTTTACGTGGACCTTTATACCCATTACAGTCGAAAGCAGAAATATGTACTATTGTAGTACAACGATGATGCCAGACGGAATGATTATATTTATCGGTGGTAGATATGCAGATAATAACTCTTTTGTATCTTTAGAAAAGGTATAAAATAATCACTAATTAAATAGATTACCTATACGTGCTAACATATGTGAATTGATTTTAAACAGTTTACTACGTATAATGTTACTTCTGCTTCATGGGGTTTTGTTGTAAGATTTATATTTTTTTTAGAAAGATTGTAATAGTAACGGAATACTTCACTAACCTTATACTGTACTTACGTAATTACCATTAGGTTCCATCTGGATCTGGGCCTTCTTATTGTTTTCCTGACGGTTCCGTTCTAAGTAAGTATTAACTAAGACAACAAATACTTAAGACTTTAAATTAAATATTTTTATCTTTAGCAAAAGATGGTCAGATCTTGCTATTTGGATGTGGCGAAAATTTTAACATTTGGATTGTAGATACTTCAAATAATTATACCTGGACAGCGCCTGTTATTTCAAATGATTATATACCAAAGAATTTGGTGGGTTACAGTCTCACTTTAATTGGAGACTATGTCCTAATGGCCTTTGGTAAGATTTAACGTTAACATTATTTTATTTTATCTATTTAATTCCATTATTAATTTATTTACACTTTTGTTTTTTTATTAATTAAAAATCTAAAATCCTCGGATTTTAACCGTAAATTTTTAAACAGGATTTATTTACACAGATCTAACATTGGGCACAGGATCTCAATCAGATAGCATCTATATTCTCGACGTAAGTCGAAAAAATAATTTTACATGGGTTACATCACTTGGCTCAAATACCACGGCTATTTTGCCATCAACCCCGGATGCGCACGAAAATAGTGGAAAAACCTTCCCGCTTATTGTTGGTCTATCTGTGTGTGGTGGTGTGGTCATAATTATTATTACCATTGTAGCAGGTATTTTAATTAATAGAAACAAGTCTAATAAACAAGGTACAATAACAACCTAACGTAATATACAGTAGTATTTAACGACAAATATCTAGTAGCATGTTTATTTAGAACCGAACTACAAGAATTAAAGGTTAAATTTATTTCCAAAAAATTTGTAAATTTTATTTCTTGTGTTTATTTTCGTTATTAGAAGTTATATCTCAGATATAAAAAGTTTTTGTCAAATTTTTGAATAAAATTATTTTTATCATCAAAAATAAAAATATTTTAAATAAAAATTTTATATATTTTTGAAAAAAACTCTTCACATAAATAACATTTTATTAAAATAAAAAACACATTTTTTTCACCTTTCAATATAAAAAGTTTTTTATTTATACTACAAAATTCTCAAGAAAATAAAAGAAATATATCAATGCATTGAGATAAAACCTTTATTAAGAAAATCAAAATTAGTTTCTTTGTTTTATTCCTAAATTGTATAAGAAAAATCCCATAGCATTAATTGCTTTTTTATAATTCTTTATTGAAATATTTTTTTAATCTGGATGCTTACATCTTGTTTTATTAGGTTTATTTGATTAGGTAGGTACAAATTCATTTTATACAAATTCTAACTCATTATTCTTAAATAAAAATCACAAAGAATATTTTTGCCATGCAGCAAATTGCCAAGTATTGGTATATACAATATTTAGCTAATTTGCCAAAGCTCTATTAATTCCAATTAAAAATCATATTAAAAGAGTAGATTGTATTTTAATTGATCCAGTTTAAGCTGACTCTATGCATTATTTTGTTGAGTTCTGATATAATTGCTTTTTCTGTTGTTGGTTTCTTTTTGTTTGAGTTTTATTTTTATTTTCTTGTCTTTTAATATTGTTTACTTCTTTAAATTGTTCACGTCTGTTTGTCTATTTTTTGTGCAGTTTTGTTAATATTTAGCACATTGTATTATTTATTGTTTCTTGGTATATATTCTTATTCATATATTTTTTAATAATTCGAGTTAGTTGATTTGTAATTGTATCTCTGGTGATATAGCTTTAATCTTTTGTATTTATTTATTTTGGTGTTCTTTAAGTTCTCTATTTAGTTTGTAATTTATTTTAATTGTAAATTTGCTGCTTACTTTTTTATCAATGATTTGAATTAGTGTTTTGAAGATGTTGTTACTATTGTTTTTGCATGTATTGCAGTGTATATTGACTTTATAAAATTTTTTTGAAGAATGTTTTGATAAATCAGAAATTTATTTGAATGATTACATAATTTTTGTTATATAAAAATTAAATTAGAAAATTGTTTTGATTTTTAATACAAAGGTTAACTTGAATAACAAAAGGTCTTATGAATTTATTCAAGTAACATTCTAAATAAAAATAAATTATTTTAAAAGGTAATTAGAGAAAAAAGAAATGAGATATTAGAAAAAGATTCTATAATAATAATTTATTTGTTATTTTTTATATAGATAATTGTGATAAAATGTTTTT